ACTCGATCCCGGGACTCCAGGATCATGACCTGAGCCGAAGGCAGTCGCTCAACCAACTGAGCCACCCAGGCGCCCCAAATAAATAAAATCTTTAAAAAAATAAAATAAAATGAGATTTGTGTACATATGTTCATCACAAGTTGAAAAACCTGAGGACTTATGGTAAGGTTTAATATGACTCTTCTGTGTATTTTATCATATTTGAAAAATACAGATAACATTTGCCATTATAGGAACTTGGGCTATTTTAGCTACAAAGGCTATCTTAGAAAAAAATACTTTATCTTAAAGGAGTGATTCATTTATTCATTCATGCTAATCCAACTGGTAGTTAAAAATATAAAATCTGGGGCGCCTGGGTGGCTCAGTTGTTTAAGCGACTGCCTTCAGCTCAGGTCATGATCCTGGAGTCCCGGGATCGAGTCCCCATCGGGCTCCCTGCTCAGCAGGGAGTCTGCTTCTCCCTCTGACTCTCTCTCCTCTCATGCTCTCTATCATTATCTCTCTGAATAAATAAATAAAAATCTTTAAAATAAAAAATATATAAAATCTGTCATTGTTCTTTTTTAAAAATTTTTCTTTAAATTCATTTTAACATAGTGTTGTGTATCTAATAACACACTGTATGTTACATGTGTAATGTAACATACAACACTATACAATAATATAGTGCATTATTAGTTCCAGAGGTAGAATTTAGTGATTCATCAGTTGCAGTGTCATTTGTTCTTATTCACAAAATATGTACCCCCAAATTGTTAGAGTAAATCTGACCTTTTTCACATATGGTACTGACCTCCGAGTGCTTTAGTTGTATAAATCACAATGTTAGCAAGCTATCATTGTGGTAGGAAAGGTTTTGATCTTATGATTAAAGATATTGTGCCTTCTTAGGATGCTCATGAATTTTTAAGTCAATGCTTAGACCAGCTGAAAGAGGACATGGAAAAGTTAAATAAAACTTGGAAGACCGAACCTGTTCCCGGAGAAGAAAATTCGTCAGATATTTCAGCCACAAGGGTGTACACTTGCCCTGTTATTACTAACTTGGAGTTTGAGGTTCAGCACTCCATCATCTGTAAAGCGTAAGTAACCTCTAAGAAAACTCTTTGCCCTTTTAATTCTTTATGGCAGGTGATTAAAATTCTTCTAGAAGGTTTTAATTCTTATCTTCCTTTCTGTGTTATAAGGATACATAAATGCGTAGATTCTACCAAACATCTCTTTTCAAAGCATCTTTATCTTCTGTAAAAATGCTTTGTAGGGTGAGAACTAAGGAGAACTTGACTATTTTGTCATGTGCTGTAGTGCTGACTAAACATTTAATTTCGCTCTACAAGTTTGTTTTTGTGGGGTTTTCTTTTAATCTCTGTGTAATATCGAGTACTTTCGGAATACTTGTTCTTTTCTTTTTCCCTGAAAAGACTCCCTCCTATTGCTTATTTTATTAAACCAAATTGTTTTTATTAAAAATGGGTTTTTTTTTTTACAGGATCAAAATTTGAATTATTTTTAACTTTTGCAGTGCTTTTTAACCATGTTTATATTGATTATTCAGGCTGACTTTCTACATTTAGGTAATTTCCATGCTCGTTACCAAGACTTCTTTCTATATCATGCATTTCACATCAAAAGGTTCTATTTTGAGGGGCGCCTGGGTGGCTCAGTCATTAAGTGTCTGCCTTCGGCTCAGGTCATGATCCCAGGGTCCTGGGATCAAGCCCCGCATCGGGCTCCCTGCTGCGGGGGAAGCCTGCTTCTCCCTCTCCCACTCCCCCTGCTTGTGTTCCCTCTCTCACTGTGTCTCTGTCAAATAAATAAATAAAATCTTAAAAAAAAAAAAAGGTTCTATTTTGATTAATCCTTCAGTTATCTCTGAATATGTTTTTTCAGAGAGAGTAGAATTTTCTGTATAAGCAAGAATTGTGTTGCCTTCACACAGGAGTTAATACAGAGTTATTGAATCACACATTGCCTTTCCCCCTTAGTATCTTACATATACTGTCCCACCGTGTGTTCTTATTCTGTGCCATTTGAGAGAAACCTGATTTTGTGGGTAATCTTTTTCTTCCTGAAAATCTGTGGTATTCTTTATTTTTGAAATTCATATTTTGACAAGTTTGCATCTAAGTATTTTGTTTAATTTTGTCTTTAACATGATGGAGCTTTCTCATCTGAAAGATTTGGGATTTTCTTCCGCTCAAATTCTGTAAATATTACAGAACAGTTTGAAATTTTCCTTAGAAATACTCAAAACCCATATATTAGCTATCCATTCTGTCTTCCATATTTCTACTTTTCTTAGACTATTCATGAGGTCTCTCCCAGCTGTAACATTCTAATAATTGTGACTACAATTTTGAACATTCAGATGGACACTAGAAAGATAGTTTTGTATCACTAGTGTGTGTGACATTTCTTGTCTTCATCATTTCTTCAGTCTTTTGTTTCCCCAGTAGATAAGTTATTTTTACAAGAAAAAGTCCAGGTCTTTTTTTTTTTTTTTTGAGAGAGAGAATGAGATAGAGCATGAGAGGGGGGAGGGTCAGAGGGAGAAGCAGACTCCCCGCTGAGCAGGGAGCCCCATGCGGGACTCGATCCCGGGACTCCAGGATCATGACCTGAGCCGAAGGCAGTCGCTTAACCAACTGAGCCACCCAGGCGCCCGTCCAGGTCTTATAAATACAGTCCATGTCCTTGTAAAAGCTGGAGAGCCCACCAGCAGTTAGTAATACAGTAGCCAGTTATCCTTTCCTTTCCTTCTAATGTACTTTCCCAACAGATTTGTTCAAGTTAGAGAGAGAAGCAAAGTTTTAATTGTTGTTATTTAATTGTGGGGGTGCCAACCAAATTTATTTTGATAGGAGAATTTCAATGGCCCCTGATAGAATTGGCTACAGGCGGCACAAGAAGCAAGAAGGCCGAGTCAAAGTGTAGTGGTTGCTGTCCTGTGCCCGCAGCATCAGGCAGGTGCCCCACTGGCACAGCACCCAGATGTTGGGTGGACGTTGATGTTTGTGCACCATGCCTGAAGTGACGTGTCTCCTGGGGTGTTAGATACACTAGGGGCTGGGCTGAGAGCGGCCTGGCAGTGTGGCAAGTCTGGGAGGCAGCACGGCTCCGCGAGGCCACAGCAGCAGCGGCCCAGCTACCTCCTTACAGGCTTTGCTTTAGTTGCTTTATTAGCAGTTTCTTTAAGACAGTTCCTTAAACACAAAATAGTTTGTGGCTCAACGAAGATTACGTACACCTCAAATTGTAATTTTCTTTGTTTAGATTCTGTCCCATCTCACTGTAGGTTAGTTTGGCCAATTTGCCAAATGTACTTATTTTTTTAAACTGTTGTAGTTTAAATGGACTTGTTTTCAATTACATTATAAGGTATTTCAGTATAGTAATATATATATATATTTTTTAAAGATTTTATTTATTTATTTGAGACAGAGAGAATGAGAGACAGAGAGCATGAGAGGGAGGAGGGTCAGAGGGAGAAGCAGACTCCCTGCCAAGCAGGGAGCCCGATGCGGGACTCGATCCCGGGACTCCAGGATCATGACCTGAGCCGAAGGCAGTCGCTTAACCAACTGAGCCACCCAGGCGCCCCAGTATAGTAAAATATTATCAAATACGAAGAATTCTCCAAAGAACTTAAATTATCTAAAACTAAGTACTTAGTATTCTCCATAAAACCTTCTGCAGTCAAAAACAAAAAAAAAACCCTTCTGCAGTCTTCCCTATCTCAGTAATAACAGTTCCATACTTAGATTTATCAGCCCAAAAACGTAGTGTATTTCTTAACTCTTCTCTTTATCTTGCATCCCTACATCTCATATGTCAGGAAATCCCTTCAGAGTATAACCAGAATCTGACCACTTGCCACCATCTGATCAAAGCCACTATCATCTCTTGCCTGGATTGTTGGAATACCTTCTAAACTGGTCTGTGTTTCTATCCTCTCTCTAGGTTTTTTTAAACACATTAGCCGAAGTGATCCCTTTAAAGTGGAAGTTAGTTCATGTTAGCCCTCCTCAAAACCTATAAAAGCTGAAGTTCTTACTGTAATATGCAAAATCCTGTATGATCTGTTCTTCAGCAGCCCCTCTTCCCCCAACTAACTCTCACTTCACCTCCTACCACTCTTTCCCCTTCCTCATTCTGTTCCTACCAAATTAGCTTCCTTGCTTTATTTATTTATTTTTTAAATGCCAGATCCTGGTACCTAAGGGCCTTTTTCACCTACTGTACCCTTTATCTCAAATTCTCTTTCGCCATATTCCCCTCCATATCTTTATGTAAAAGCTACTTGCTCAGTAAGGCATTTTCTAGGCATTTACCCTATTTAAATTCCAACCATCTACTCTGGTCTTTCACTGTTTTTTTTTCCCCGTTGGCAGTTATCACTATCACTTTAACATACCATACATATTACTTATATGTTTTTTATTATCTTTTTCCTCCAATATAGCTTTGTGCAGGGAGGTATTTTATCTTGGGTTGGTTCATTACTGTAACCCTAGTGCTACTAGAACAGTTTCTTGCATATAGGAGGCGTGTTTAGTGATGCCTAAGAAATTGCGCAAATTTGCCAGTTTAAAACAATAGTTATTAACTCAGTTCCATAGGTCAGAAGTCTAGACAGGGTGTGGCCAAGTTCTCTGCTCATGGTATCAGAAGACTGAAATCAGCGTGTTGCTTGTTCTCATCAGGATACCCCTCTACACTCCTTAAAGTTGTGGGCAGAAATTAGTTCCTTTTGATTGTAGTACTGAAGTCTCGCCATTTTCTTGCTGGCTGGTAGCTGCAACTACTCATTTCCTAAGGGCTGCGTGTTGTTTCATGCTATGTGGCTTCCATAGGCAGTCCACAGCAGTGCGATTTGTTCAGGTCAGCAGTACATGTCTGACTTTGAATCCCTAACTTCCTCTGTTTGAGACCTCTAGACCCAGATTTAAAGAGCTCAAGTGATTAAGTCGTGACCCACTCAGATAATCTCCTTTTTTATCAACTCAACATTAAGATTAGTAACATTAATCATATCTGCACAGTCCCTTTGTCTTGTAACATCATCATGGGAGTGAAAGCTCATCATGGTCACAAGCTCTCTTAAAGGGGATGGAATTATACAAAGGCTAAGGGTCATCTTAGAATTCTGCCTATTAGATAGAGGCACTCAAATATTTGTTGGATGAAGAATATATTTTTATGGTCTCCAGTCTTCAACTGTGGCAGTAGAGAACTAGGGCAGGAGATTGAATATTACTAAAAATGCTGTTGTGCAGAGAGAAGGAAAAACATCAACTAAAACTATTTAAAAGAAGTGAATTTGATTCCAGATAAATAATGTTTTGATCTCTGAGCCCAGTTTTTAAAATTCTGTAGAAATATATCCAGTGATCAAAACAGTTCCAACAGAAGTTCACCAAAACACCTAGAATTTTTTTTTAAAGATTATTTTATTTTAGAGAGTGCATGCGTGGGGAGGGGCAGAGGGAGAGGGAGAGAGAGAGAGAGAATCTCAAGCAGACTCTGTGCTGATCGTGGAGCCTGATGTGGGGATCTCACGACCCTGAGATCATGAGCTGAAACCAAGAGTCAGATGCTTAACCAACTGAGCCACCCAGGCACCCCAGGAACACATAGCATTTTTATTTTATTTTATTTTTGGTGCAAAAAGGTGTTTTTATTATTAAAGCACAGGGACAGGACCTGTGGGCAGAAAGAGTTGCTGAACACATAGAATTTTTAAAGCAGCATTGCTTATGTAGTCAAAAACGAAACAATCCAAATGTCCATCAGTAGTAATATAGATAAATTGTGGCATGCTCAGAACAGGTTAATGTGAGCCAACAATGAAGATGGGCTATAGCCACATGCAGCAACCATGTTTGAATCTCACAATCATGTTGAACAAAAGAGACTAAAAACATACTGTATGGTTCCATTTATATAAGGTTCAAAAATAAGCAATACTGACCTGTTGTGCTAGAAGTCAGGATAATAGTTACCTTTTGGGAGAAAGGGGTAGTGATTGGAAAGGGGCACGTGAGAGGGCTCCTACGGAGTTTATAATGTTTTATTTCTTGATTTGAGTGGTGTTAACTGATAATTCGTGAAACTGTACAATTTGGTTCACTTTTCTATGTGTATGTTGTACTTTAGTTTTTAACTTTTGGGGCTTTTTTAAAAAACTAAATTTAGCATTCTGTTAAATACTTAAATACTTGCAGTTGAGGTTTTACTTGTATTGATTTAATGAGGGTTAAAATACTCATGAGAAAAGTCTTACATGTTGTATATTGCTTATCAACTCAGGCTAGTCTTTGTCAGTACCTGCTAAGTTCTGTGCCAGAACAGTGTTTCTGAAGTATATTTGTATTTATTTTGTATTGCACAGTTAGACTTCTAAATGCTTCCATTTGTCTTCTTTTATTCTTACAGATGTGGAGAAATTATTCCCAAAAGAGAACAGTTTAATGACCTCTCCATTGACCTTCCTCGAAGGAAAAAGCCACTCCCTCCTCGTTCAATTCAAGATTCTCTTGATCTTTTCTTTAGGGTAAGTAATATCTTTTGGTATTTTCACATAATTAAGTTTTATATATCATAGGTAATTGTATTTGAAATTGGTTTCTTTAAGGCAGAGTTTCAACAAAATTACATGAAGGGAAAACAAATGAGAAAGATTTATAAATAATGTTTAATTTTAAAAGCTTGATAAATCTAATTAACTCATAGAAGAAGAGTATTGATTGGTTAAGTAGATTATACATTTAATTCAATAGCAGGTGTTTTAGACAACCTTAGTTATTTGTGAACAAATATTAACTTGAAGCATGTGCTAAAATTTGGTAGTGTTGGTGAAAATTGGAGATGCTATATATGAGTTTGTATCTAAGATCTGAGGAATGAAAAAATACTCTGCTTTTCCTTAGGTTGTATGTAACCTGTTAGAAACAAAAGGGAAGAGTCATGTTTATCCAAAGCTTTAGATAAATATGTTTCTGTGATATACTGTTAAAGATATTCAGCAAGTTTTGGGGACATAATTGGACCTATTGTGTAGCAGTCCTTATAACTGATGGAAATTTGTCAGGATCACCCTTCGTCTCTTTAACAGTGGTTCTTGTTTTGTTGTAGCAAATGGGCAGGGTTGTCTTCTTAAGGTTAAAAACAAAATTCTGTTCTTTAAATGATGAACATTCAGCTCCACCCAAAGATAAATACTCTGCTTTTCTTTTTATCATTCCTTACTATTCCTGTTATTATCATAGAATTTGAAGCTTTTCCTGTGTATCTTTACCCCCATTTTTTAAGGATTTCTTGTTTCAGTTTTCTCTAGGTAATGATATCCACCCCAAACTTTGGTCCTTTTAGAGCAGTTGTTCTTAGTGGGCTGTCACCAGAAGATTGAGTTCCATTATAAGAAAGGGGTAGAGTTACACCTAACAGACCAGGAACTCCGCCTAACCTGAAGGTGATCTTATCTCTGCTATGGCCAAATGTTAAAATCTGGATATACTCTAGGCAGTGGTTCTTGTGCATCCATGGGGAAGAGGTTGAGAATCTGCTACTGTAGAGTCTAGTTGCTGTCATAAATTGAGATGTTTCCATGGTAAAAAAGGAAATTAGGAATTCTGAAATAGGGCATGATATTATAAGATATCTATTTTGAGGATTAGGTCTTAATTTAGTAAGGTTTGTGACTCTAGACACAAAATTTGAACTTCTCGGAGTTGTCATTGCACTGAACTAATGTGACTAGAAAACAGTATTAGCATTTACTGGGGTAATGCTGATTCAACTTCATGCTTCTTTATTTTTCCCTCTTGTCTTTTTACAGGCAGAAGAACTTGAGTATTCCTGTGAGAAGTGTGGTGGGAAGTGTGCTCTTGTCAGGCACAAATTTAACAGGCTACCCAGGTAAAATGAATCGCTCTTCAGTTTTTCTTCTTTAAAGTACTTACAGATATTACTGGGTAAGTGAGGCTCACTAGAATGGATTGGTAAAGCAAAGCTGAGATAGGAGAGAGTAGAGGATGGGAGGTTAGGATGTTCTTGCATAAGAAAGGAAGAAGATTTGGAAGGCTGAAGAAGGGAAGTCACTTCAGAGTCCCTGGAAGATGGCAACAAGAGGACGTGGCTGGTGAGACTTTGGAACAATGGTAGGGACTAGGTAGGAGATTTTTAATTTGGTAATGTATGACATTCAGTTATAATTTGCAGTTTGATTATGTGCTAGTCTCCTTCTCCCAAACCTTCAGCAAAAATCTGCCACAAACACATACACATGTGTGCATGAAAATAAAGAGTAATTTTCTGCAGGTTTTTTTTACATTCCTTTATTCAAAGGATCTTGTAAGTTAGTAAGTTTCCTATAATCAAAACAATTCAGAATTAGGAATGAATTTAACTTAATTAGCTCTGTGTAAACATACATAAAACCAAACTAGCTGGACAAAATATGATGTGATTATGGTGCAGCTTTTAGTTCTTCCCAAGAATAGATCTCAACCACAAACAAGGTTGTTGTTATTAAGTATTTATGTGGCACTTTGCCTGCAGAGTGCTTTACTTTCTTTTATTAGCTTCACTTTTCTGTAAGTGTAGAGTTTCTGGAACCTAGCCCCTAGAGACTAGTTCTTGTAGGTTCCATTATCTCCTTTCTAGAAAATGAGTTTCTTTTAAAGAAATGATTTTCTAAATCATAGCAGTATTATTATGTTGGCCATTTCTTACTCAAGAGACTTATTCTTTCCTCTTGGTGTTTTGAGGCAGGAGGTAGAGGAGACAAACCTTAGGGCAAAGGATTGATTGTTACCAGCTGTCATTAACTAAGGAAAGCATGTATGGTTTGAAATACTTGTTTGACCTGGCAAGCTGAATGTCTGTTACCCTTTTCCAGTGTCTAGCTATTTGTTCTTTTAGTGGGAAAAAAAAAATACTGAGGGAAATTTTTTTCATTGGTTTTCTCTTTTTTTCCTGGTAGGTCACTTGTGTTATAGGTTCATTTATTCCAAACTTTAGAAGCCTTTGTATCATAAATCCTGATTATCAGACTTGCTCTGTTTTTGTACATTTCAGTATTAAAGCCAGTTTACTTTTATTCGTGAAGGGCCTGGTATCTTTATCAAGTATGTTCAGTTGTAGTTCACCTCATCTTCGTAGATAAGTGATTTTGACTATCATCTACCTTTCATATTACCTTTTATTTTGGCAGGATTATTTGGAAATTTAGTCAAAATATTTGATATTAGTTTTAATCTCTTCATACCATTTGGATCCTTGTGTTCTCTCAAGTTGTGAACTTGAAGATTATGAGTTCTAGCATACTTTTTAAAGAAAAATAAAGTCAATAACTTTAATTTACAATTTTTTTAGTTTGTGGCTTCTGTGATAAAGATATGTACGGTAAGAAAGGAAACAGTTTTCCATAAAGCAGACATTATTTTGCCTAGAATTGAGGTTTATTCCCATAAGAGTTCTGAAATTCAAATTTTAAAGTGTTCTTGTGGGCTGTGAAATATATTTAGTCCATCAGGCAGAGATTATGGTGTGTATCAGAGGTGAAAAGGTTAGCACAATAGTAACTAAAAAGAAGTGTTTCTACAGAGTTAAAAGCCTTTTCAGACCCACAAACCAGATTTGGCATGTAAATTTTGTAGAACTTTTTGTAAGTGGAGAAAACTTTCCTATTTCCTTCTTAGCTTTCTCCAGAGAAAGTGCTATATACTGAAATAAGAGTAGTTCTTGTCAGGGGCGTCTGGGTGGCTCAGTCAGTTAAGTGTCTGACTCTTGATATGAGCTCAGGTCTTGATTTACAGGGTCATGAGTTCAAGCCCCGTGTTGGGCTCCACATTGGGCATGGAGCCTACTTTAAAAAAAAAAAGTTCTTGGGGCGCCTGGGTGGCTCAGTCGTTAAGCATCTGCCTTCGGCTCAGGTCATGATCCCAGGGTCCTGGGATCGAGCCCCGCATCAGGCTCCCTGCTTGGCAGAGAGCCTGCTTCTCCCTCTCCCACTCCCCCTGCTTGTGTTCCCTCTCTCACTGTGTCTCTCTCTGTCACGTAAATAAATAAAATCTAAAAAAAAAAAAGTTCTTGTCAAAAATCGTCTTGAAAAAATTAATGTTCACCATCAAACATAAGGGCTATTTAACACTTTAATTAAATTACCATTAATGGTTATATAATACCTATTTTTTTGTAAACTAGATAACATTGAAGTAAATAATTTAAGGATTTAACCCAATGCCAACATTTTATTTTATTTTTAAATTTTTTTAAAGATTTATTTATTTATTTTAGAAAATGGGGGGAAGGGGCTCAGAGGGAGAGAGAAACTCTAAGCAGACTCCATGCTGAGTATGGAACCCAACTCAGAGCTCAATCTCATGACTCTGAGATCACGACCTGAGCCAAAACCAAGAGTTGGACACTCAACCGACTGTGTCACCCAGGCACACCCCAAAACCAACATTTTAAAATAAAGTGTGTTTTATTTGGTGTGTTTTTTTTTTTCTGCAAACATATATTTTACCCAGACCTCATTTATCCACCCAAGGCCCATGTTTTATTTTTATTTATATTCTTAGTACCTAGCACAATGCCTAGCACATGGCAGGTATTCGGTAAATGGTCTTTGAAGGATCTTTAGCCAAAAGTAGTCTTTAAGTCAAAAGCTGTCTAACGTGGTTAGTTACAGTGATCTCTTTTCACCAGTAAGAGAGCTAGCTCTGTTATGTGTGAACTAGTAATGTCATCTCCTGTTTTTCAGGATCCTCATTCTTCATTTAAAACGATATAGCTTCAATGTCACTCTCTCACTTAACAACAAGATTGGGCAGCAAGTCATCATTCCAAGATACCTGACCCTATCTTCTCATTGCACTGAAAATACAAAACCACCCTTCACCCTTGGTTGGAGTGCACATATGGCAATGTAAGTCCTTGAGAGAGAATTTCTTTACCTTCCTTTTGAAGTAGAAGGGCTTTAGTGTCTGACCAAAACAATGACTGAACTAGATAACATGACTCCCAGGTAAAATCAGACCAAGAAGATTTTAATTTTGCTTTATTTTGGGATTTTGTGTCAAATTACTGCCTGATGGAAATAATTAAATAAAATGCTTAAACAAAATTTTTCTGAGTACATTAATTGCCTTTCATAATAAGTTACCTTTTTAGAGAGTGCTCTTACTCTTTTAGATCACTAGAAGACAAGTTTGATACATTTTGGGAATATAAATCAAATTTGCTTATTCATAAGAATCACCTGAACGCTAAAAAATACCAATTCCTGTGTTCTTTCCCTAGCAGTTCTGTTTTAGTAGATCTGAGATAGAGCTTAAGAATAAGTATTTATTTATTTATTTAAAGATTCCACTTACTTATTTGAGAGTGAGCAGGCTGGGGACAGGCAGATGGAGATGAGCAGGCTTCCCGTGGAGCAGGGAGCCCGATGTGGGACTCGATCCCAGGACCCTGGGATCATGACCTGAGCCGAAGGCAGACGCTTAACGACTGAGCCACCCAGGCGCCCCAAGAATAAGTATTTTTTTAAATGCCTTTGCTGACTCTTTGGGATATGCAAGTTTGAGAAACAGCATACTAAATTTTATCTAGTGCCCCCCAGAATTGATTTTATCTTCATAAATGTATCATCACCGATGTGAGTGAAGAACTTCCGTGGCTCCTAGAAATTTTCCCATGATAAAAGAAGTAACCTTTACTTTTGATTTTGCTTCATCATGTATGCTGAGAAAACCTTAGGACTTCTGTGAATGTTGCTCTTTCTTGCATTACTCTTGTTACATTACTTTGGAGCCATGTACTGTAGTTCTTTTTTATACTTGAACTCTAATTTGGTAGAATCATAAAGTTCTCCAACTTCAGAAGTGAAAAGGATCTTAGAGATTTTGTCTAAATTTTTAGTTTTACAGAGATTCAAGGAGAGTAAGTGATTTTCTTAAGATCACGCAGTTAGTAACTGGAAGAGCCAGGTCTCTTGGCTAAGTAGAATAAATAGACCTTTCAGAAAGCAAATGAACATTTGCTAACAATAATTGATGCAGTTTTAGAAAATGTATTTCCCTTGGATTAATAATTGAAATATATACTACATCATGTAAGTTTACACTAAAGGACTCAGTGGGCCTACTTATTAATAAAGATAATTTCCCAGAGTCTTAGGTGTTTCTGGATTTTCTCCTACAGGCTTTCGTTAGAATAGTTGTTTTGCTTAATGCAAACTGCCCTCTGCTGGTAGACCTATTACTCTTTGTGGCCATCATTGTAGGTGATTTATGATCACAGGCCTGAAACCAGGCTATATGATTCTACAGTGGAATGGCTTGAAGACTTTGGACAAGTTCTTTGACCTGTGTATAGGGGAAATAATAGGATGGTGTGAACATTAAATGAGGTAATACACTATGAGCTCTTAACTCCAGTGTCTGATAGCCAGTAAGTCCTCAATAAATGAGAGCTATTACTGTTTTATTGCTTAAAAGTAAAGAACTGAGGCAAGATAATTTTCCCAAGTTGTTCTTTTCATATGCATTACCTTTGACTTCATTTCCAATGCTGTTTATGTAGATCATTGGATCAGGAAGAGCCTACAGATGGTACCTTGTTTTCTCTTTTGGCCTCTATTGCTAGTGGTGGAAGTATTGTAATTATTTGCAAAAAGATATATAAGGAGCTATAGTATAGAATAATTCATTTTATAAGTTAAATATATATTTTTAATAATGTAATTATATACATTATATATTTTCTAATTTTCTGATAGTTCTAGACCATTGAAAGCCTCTCAAATGGTGAATTCCTGCATCACCAGCCCTTCTACACCTTCAAAGTGAGTTATATTTCTTGTGTACCCAAAATTTGTATTTTTAAAGATTTGGCTTACCCTGATTTCCAAGATTATCCCCTCCCCTTTTCTGTTTTTCTTTGCATGATAACTGCTCTGTATTACTATACTTTGTAATTTTCCTGAATCTGCTTTGAAGTATAACCTAGGGTATAACAAATCTTTAACAGTGAAGCACGTTCAGATGATCTTCTCAAAATTTTGTTTTTAAACTTCTTAAATCAACTGTTAATACGTAATATTTTCATCCTACAACTATAGAAATTGATGACAAGGGATTTTAAGGCTTGAAGGGATAAAATAACCACTGTTGGTATAAAGCACTGTTCCTCAAAGATACACATGGGGATCTCAAAATATCTTTTCACCTGTTGCTAGGCAGTCTGGGACTTCCTGTCTTAGACACTGACCTGAAGCAATTCTGAAAGGGAACAAGAAAACAAACACACAATGAAATGTAGCTATTCTACAAATGTTTTATATTTTTTACTTAAGTTGGAAAAGTTTGTCCATAAAGGGAAGCAAATACTTTTTTTTAATATATCTCCTCTATAATTTAACTAGAACCACAGTTCCTGATGAAACAATTCTAAATGACTTGGTTGTCATTTATCTTTAAAATTAGTTTTTCTGAAAATCTGATGTCCCAAAGTACTTTTAGAAAAGAGACACTTCTGTTGTTTAAGGGCTTTGGGGGGCTTATATAACCATAAAATGACATTTGGGAACTGCTATTTTCTTTTCCTCCTGTTAATTATTTTTCAGTGCAATTAAAACCAGATGACTAACATGACTAGAAATCTGAAATGGTACCGATATGAATACTCTTGCCCGTTCTCAAGATACAAATGAGCAATACCACTTGGCTGCTTAGAAAGTGAGCAAGTGATGCATTTACAGGATGAATATTTTTCCTTACTACAGGCAAGCTGCCTTCTGTGAATATAGTAATTATTAATGGAATGCACTCTTTATGTACCAAATCACTATAGTTTCAAGAAGGAGATGGTTTCATTGGGCATCATTATATTTGGCATGGTCATCTGTTCTCCAGGGTCTACTGGTATGAGAATTTGAGAGTTGGTCAATAAAGGATAATTAGGCCCTAGAAGACCTGTCATGCCGATCAAACTTAAAAGAGGCTGAGTTTTGAACAAGAATACTGTTGGTTCTTCTACAGTGTCCTTTGTCACATTTGACCCTGGTCCATTAGTAGCCAGGTGTCACCTTCCTTCAGCAAAGTATTTACATGGATAAACAAATTAATACATTCAGTTTTGCTTGGTGTGCATGAAATCAGAAATGAGGAATTAAGATGGCTAATTGGCTATTTCTAAGTTATACTAAAAACCCTTTTGAACACGTAATGGGAGGCTATTCAAGTGTATAGGCTGGAGTGCAGTGATATCCTGGGAGCTCTCAGCCACAGACTATGTTTGGGCTTATCACTGACCACTTGCCTCTTTTCTTTGATCTACATTGCTATGCAATCCTCCTGGTTTCCATTGTGGCCTCTTATTTCTTGGTGCCATCATTCTGTATGTTTATTTACAGTTTTTACATTTACATTAATTGCATTTTTCAATTTCCACTTTACTTTTTTTTTTAGTATACTATATGAATTTATGTTAATCTCCATCAAAGAAAGTTCGTGCTCTTTGACCTTTACCACTTTTTCTTTTAGTTTATTTTCAGCTCACTTAGAAGGCAATGCAGTAACACCTTACTTATCTGGTATTGAAGAATGATATTTGATACTCCATATATAAACTTTTACATAGCTGAAGATTGCTTTTTTAAGCATTAAACTTTAAAATGCTTTACCATTTTAGATGGGTTTATACTCTGTAACCTTACAGAATTCCCTATATTCGTAAATAAAATACACTGAAAATAATTTAAATGTTTTAATGACTCAGAATCAGCATTATGAGTATCACTTATTGCACTGTTTTAATATGATAATGCCCTCAGAGGCTTTTAAGTCTTACAAAACAGTTTATATTAAATGACTTTACAGTTTTTTATTGCCCTTTTTGTGGTTATTCTCTCTCATTTCCTAGCTCTCATTTCTTGATGAACTTGCTGCATTATTTTATACACCATTTCCTGGGAAAGAAAGGGTCCCTGTCTAAAGAGTAAAGTGCATTGGCTTTGAAACTACTTTCCTCAGAAGCCTTTTTTCTTACTTTTGAATCCCTGTGTTCTGGAAAACAGAGGTTGCCAGAAGTCTGACCTACATATAATTGGATAAGTGGAATGTTACTGTTAATTTTAAAATAACTTGGATCATAATTTAAAAGATCAAAAATTAGCCCTCATGCACAATTTTGTCAAGAACATTTATTCATTGCTATGTCTGCATGCATGCAGTAGAGTACTTGCTTTATAAAAACAAACTTCTTTGGGGTTGATCATTAAAAGAAAAAAGGCACAAAGTGATTGGTTTACGGATGGATTTTATTGTAGCATAAGAATTGTCTAATTTTCAAAGCATGGCTGTTTTGGAGTGGGGCAAAGGTAATGCTTAAATATACCTCTTGCTATATCTTTTTTTCTCTGTAAATCATTTTCCAAAATGGAAAAGTTTTTTATTTTGGTATTTACACATCAAGGGAATAACAAGGACAAAAGTTTATTTATCAGACTCATATAGGTTTTTTTCTTAAATTACAGGAATTTCACCTTCAAATCCAAGAGCTTGGCTTTATGCCTTGATTCAGACAGTGAGGATGAGCTAAAACGCTCTGTGGCCCTTAGCCAGAGACTTTGTGAAATGTCAGGCTGCGAACAGCAGCAGGAAGACCCGGAAAAAGTAAGTAATTTCTCATCAAAATACTTGACAAATTTTTATATAGCTCTTACTGTCCAAACAAATGCCTTTATAACTAGCGTCGGCAAACTTTTTTTTTTTTCTTAGCAAACTTAATACACAGGGTGGATCATAAATTCATAAACTTAATGGATCCGTTGAAACACTAGTTTTAAAGAGTATACTTTCTGTAACTACAAAACCAGTCTGTTTAAAAATGGATTGGGACTTTTTTTTATTGAGGTATAATTGACATATTAGTTTCAGGTGTACAGCATATTGATTCAGTATTTGTAGGTTTTGCAATAAGATTACCACAGTAAGTCTAGTTAACATCCATTACCATACATATTTAGCAAAAAAAATTTTTTTTCTTGTGGTAAGGACTTCTAAGATCTATTCTCTTAACAACTTCCAAATCTGCAATAAAATATTAATAGTAGTCTAATTCTGTACATTACATCCTCATGACTAAGTTATTTTATAACGGGAAGTTGGCCTGATTTACCCATTTCTCTCTCTCATACTCACACCCGCAGGCTTCCACCCCTACCTACCAGTAGTCTGTTCTCTAGATCTATGAGCTTGGTGGGATTTGGTTTTGTTTTGTTTTGTTTTTTAGATTCCACATGTAAGCAAGATTACATGGTGTTTGTCTTTCTCTGTCTGACTTACTTCACTTAGCGTAATACCTTCAAGGTCCATCCATGTTGTTGCAAATGGCAAGATTTCATTTCTTTTTTTGTGGCAGAATAGTATTCTATTGTATATGTGTACCACATTTTTATTTATCCATTGATGGACACTTAGGTTGTTTCCATGATTGAAACTTTAGAAGTGAAAGTTGTTACAGGTAAATTGCTTTCTCCTGTTAATCTTCAGAGCAACTTTTACATATGGGTCCTGAAATAATTATTTGCTTTATTTAATACTAATTGCTAATTTATGGGGGAGACTGTAGTAAATATTTTATATCAACAGGCCAACCAGGTAATCTAGAGATTTAAATAATGAATGTGAGAAAGTGTAACTTTATCATTTTCTATCTTGACACATAATAATAATTAATACTTTGAAGATACAAAGTTTGCATCATCTCATTTGACTGATTTTAAATCTCCCTTTTGTTAAGATAACAATTAATTTAGTAGTTAATTTTTATTGACTTGTTTCCCATCTTATTTTATTTTATTTTATTTATTTATTTTTTTTTTAAGATTTTATTTATTCATAAGAGACAGAGAGAGAGAGGCAGAGGGAGAAGCAGGCTCCCCGCTGAGCAGGGAGCCCGATGCGGGACTCGATCCCAGGACCCTGGGATCGTGACCTGAGCCGAAGGCAGATGCTTAACCATCTGAGCCACCCAGGCGCCCTCCCATCTTATTTTAAAGCTAAAGATAGTTTGTGGCTGCTCACCTTGAATGAGAAATGATAGAAAGTCAAAAGCTCTCCCAGAAATGAGAGAAAGTTCTTCAGAAAATAACTTCTGAATGTTTATATAATCTTGATGTTGTTTTTATTTTTCTCATTTATTTGAAAAGAAGAAAAAAAAGATGGTGACTTAACATTTAAATAGAAATACTAGGAAATATCTGACTTTGTAGAGACAAAATAAACCAATAAATGATTGTTGTCATTTACGCAGGAAACTAAATACCCTTTCTCAGTATAACTAAAGATTAACTTATGAATGCTTTATTGAAAAATACACTTATTTTCATATAAAATTACAGTAGCAGTAAGTATCTTGGTATCTTGAGAGGTGTTATAAATATTTTTGCACCACTATTCTAACTGAACAGTGTAAGTTCCATATTTCTTTCAGAGCATTATGAAGTTACCCAGTAACTTGGTTTATACTGATTCAATTTACAATTGAATTTTCTCCCTAATAAGATTATTCATTCAGCTTTAAAACTGCTGGAACAATAGTGATTAATAAAGGTATATATAGATAATTCAAAAAAAAAAAGAAATACTAGGAAAAAAAAGAAATATTAGGTGTACGGTCAGAATGGCTAAAATTAACAACTCAGAAAACAATAGATGTTGGCGAGGATGTGGAGAAAGGGGAACCCTCTTACACTGTTGGTGGGAATGCAAAGTGGTACAGCCACTCTGGAAAATATTGTGGAGGTTCCTCAAAAAGTAAAAATAGAACTACCCTATGACCCAGCAATTATACTACTATTTATCCAAAGGATTCAAAAATAGTGATTCGAAGGGGCACATGCACCCCAATGTAAATTTATAGCAGCAGTGTCCACAATAGCCAAACTATGGAAAGTGCCCAGATGCCCATCAACAGATGATAAAGAAAATGTGGTATACATACAATGGAATATTACTCAGCCATCAAAAAGAGTGAAATCTTGCCATTTGTAATGATGTGGCTGGAACTAGAGGGTATCTTGATAAATGAAATAAGTCAATCAGAGAAAGACAAATACCATATGATTTCACTCGTATGGTGGAATTTAAGAAACAAAACAGATGAACCATAGGGGAAGGCAAGGAAAAATAAAATAATGTAAAAACAGAGAGGGAGGCAAATTATAAGAGACTCTTGACTACAGGGAACAAACCGGGTTGCTGGTGGAGAGGTGAGTGTGAGGGAATGGGGTAATTGGACATTAAGGAGGGCACTTGATGTAATGAGCACTGGGTGTTATATGCAACTGATGAATCGCTAAATTCTACCCCCGAAACTAATAATACACTGTATGTTGACTAAATTGAATTTAAGTAAGAAATTTAAAAATATAAAATAATTTTCAAAAGAAGAAAGAAATACTAGATGTAGTGACAGTGTCTATAGTATGATCAACGTATATCTGGAAGAAAATACACCAAAAATACTTACTGTAATTATCTCTGAGTGATGGATTTTGAGTGAATTTGTTATTTTTATGTATTTTCCAAATCCTATACTTAACACTTACTATAATCAATAAAATAAACATGTATCCCTATATATTTATTAAAAGAAAATTAGGCTTGCCAGTGAGTTCATATATTGGCTATTGATTGTTAACTCAAAATATCAAAGAAAGGAAACATTTTAGAAATAAACTCACTTTAAACTCTTAAGATTGCCGTATTCTCAGGCGCCTGGGTGGCTCAGTTGTTTGGGCGACTGCCTTCGGCTCAGGTCATGATCCTGGAGTCCTGGGATCGAGTCCCACATCGGGCTCCCTGCTCGGCAGGGAGTCTGCTTCTCCCTCTGACCCTCCCCCGTCTCATGCTCTATCTCATTCTCTCTCTCAAATAAATAAATAAATAATCTAAAAAAAAAAAAAAAAGATTGCCATATTCTCAGGCATTCTGGCTTCCTCTAAAAGTGACTCTCTTTTTCAGGATTCAAAATCATGTAGAATAGAGCCTGATAAGTCTGAATTGGAAAACTCCGGATTTGACGGAATGAGCGAAGAAGAGCTTCTAGCAGCTGTTTTAGAGATGAGTAAGAGAGAAGCTTCACCAACTCTGAGTCATGAAGATGATGATAAACCAACCAGCAGCCCAGATACCGGATTTGCAGAAGATGATATTCAAGAAATGCCTGAAAATCAAGACACTGTGGAGACTGAGAAACCCAAAACAGTCACAGAGACCGGTAGGTTTAATGAAAATAAACATCTGTTAAGGCACAACTCTGTTCTAAAGCCTTATAGGGACAAGTGGCTTGTAAATAACGGGAGGTGAAATGGATCTGTGTAATAGGGCTAATCATATTTTCATGCTTTTAAAAAAAAAAAAAAATTAAAAAAATGAGGAGTTACATATTGCGAGTAGTATCCAGAGACTGGTGGTAAAGTATGCTGTATCCCTTTAAGTGTACATCAAAAGAAAAGTTAGAATTCTTTTTTTTTTTTTTTAAGGTTTTATTTATTTATTTGTCAGAGAGAGATAGAGCAGGAACACGAGCAGGGGCAGTGGGAGAGGGAGAAGCAGGCTTCCTGCTGAGCATGGAACCCGATGCGGGGCTTGATCCCAGGACCCTGGGATCATGACCTGAGCCGAAGCAGATGCTTAACAACTGAGCCACCCAGGTGCCCCAAAGGTTAGAATTCTTTTGTGCATTTAAATAATGTGTCATTTTTTTGGTCCCTTTTTTTTTTTTTTACCACTGCTCTCTCAGAAATTTGTATAATTCTTTCCTCATTTTTCTATATCTGAATTTGTACCAAGTTTTAGTGTATGAATAATTCAAGTTCTCTTTCCTTTGGATTTATCCCTTTATATTGGTAGAAAGACACCTGAACTAAGTGGTCAGGTTTTAAGCCTCTCATCTTGGCTGTACCACTGACTAGCTATGAATTTTTTTTAAAGATTTATTCATTTAGAGAGTGAAAGAGTGAGGAGAAGAGCAGAGGGGGAAGAATAGAGACAGGCAGACTGGGTTGAGCACAGAGCCTGACATGGGGCTCAATCTCATGACCCTGAGATCACAACCTGAGCCGAAATCAAGAGTTGTACGCCTAACCAGCTGAGCCACTCAGGCACTCCATAGCTATGAATTTTCTAAATAGGCGATTTAACCTCTTTGGTACTCCATTTTCTTATCTCTGTATAGGGATACACCAGGCATACTTCAGAAGGTTGTGAGTAGAATGTTAGGTCATATAGTATAAAGTGCTATACAGATAAAAATTTACTTTGTGGTAATTATTCATATTTTGTTATTTTTCAATCCATCAGTGGGAACAACAACAGAGCCTCCTTGCCTTGCACTGTGGGTATTTTAAGAATTTTAGGTAGAAAACTTTTACTACCTCTTCCTGTAACCAACTCTAATTTTTTTCTCCAGATATCCCTAGTATGTATATTTATCTGTGTAGCTGATGTGTTTCAGTACATCAAGCCTAGCATTTTGGAGATGAAGAGAATAATAGTAAATCACAATTATTTTCTGTATTCTGGGGGTTAAGCCTCATCAATTGTGCATTACTTTATGTGCAAGTGAAGGTAAGAATTAGTATATCCTCAATCTAATTGGATACAAAAAGCTGATGATTTTTGGATAGGGTGCTCCTTCCCCCCACCCTTCTTGATGCAAGTATCCTTAGGAAATCCCTTTCTCTTATTAAACTTACAGTCACTGCC